TCACAGGATGCAGAATTTTAGTCTAGGACATTCATCCACCCAGCTCGATAAGAAAAGAATTTGAACTAGGGCTAAGGAATATGAATAAGGTCAGAATGTGAATGTGAGATGACCAAAGTAAACACATCTCAGTATGCTTTCATTTGGGAAATAAATGCAAATGTATCTACTTACTTCCAGAACTGTATACAAACCTTTCAGATTGCCACGAACAAACTCCCATAAACACATTTCGGCCGTTTTGATTGTACCAACTTACTCTTCCATCACAGCTATTTGTGCAGCCAAATTTCATGCCTTCATTACATGCCTTCTTGGTGAAGTTAGATGTCAGATGAGCTGGTTTATTCACCTTGTATTCTCATTAAAATGGTGAAATTCTTGAGCATTTTGCCAATCCAGAGTACAAAAAATCAGCATCTACACTCAATAACTCTCAGCTGTGTGATAGCTTGACCAATCACAACACAGCTCCATTCTTTTCCTTTTGTTTTCCTGTCACCCACAGATGGTTGCACAAATAGCTGTGATGGAAAAGCAAGCTAACTCAATTGAAACAGCCAAAAATATATTTATGTATATATATATATATATGTATAAATGTATTTCCCTAAGTTTTGTACAAACCTTACAGTTCTGGAGGTACAGTACACAGACCTACCTGTTGAACCTTTGGAGGAAGGATTTGCTGCTAACTTCCTCTTTTTACTGGAATGGGCCTGGTGCTCACCTACAGTCTCATTCGGCTCTGTGAAAGAGAAACTCCAACAAAATAACTTGGGTGGTAATTGGCTACTACGAACTGTGTACAATATGAGCACAGATTGAGAGAAAAGTCCTCAGGACAGTGATGCAAAGGGGAGGCTTGCTTCATAATGCTAAAAACATTCAAGAGCTTCATCTTTTCCATTCTTATGGCAGGCTTCCAGTTTGGCCGAAATATAAAAAATCCATTTGCCATTTTATTGCAGCACCATTTCTGGGTCCAACTGTCAATAGCCCCAACTACACTAATTTGTTTCAGTTAAGTTTTTCTTTAGAGTGTAAGACTTTAATTTTCAACTTGTAGTTCTTGAAAGCATGCAACCTGTCTAGTGATGAAAGAATTCAACTAAATACAACTGAATAGTAAGTCCAGTGAGCTCTTTGAATGAATGCCTCACCCAATCCTGCATTTAAGCTCTTTGGTATTTCTTTTGTTTAGTTTCCTTTGTAAAGTTGTGGGTACATAAAGCCTGGAATGCCCAGATTCATTAGAGTGCCAGATTTACAGGTGGAAAGAGCTTGGACTGTAGAGTGAAGTGTGGGCCTATGATGCTAGCTGGGACAGTACTGAAGTACCAGCCAAGCACACTGCACGCCCAGCATAGCACCACACCCACCATAATGTGTCAATGAAAACCGCAGTTTGAATTCTGTGCTATGTTCTACCTCATATTGGCCAAGACCAAAGGCTTTTTTCGGCATGGCACTGTCAAATCTTCTGTAAGTTCAAATCCACAAGTCTGTATAGCATGCACTTTCATTGCTTCGCTCATTTCGTTGAGCTTTATTTAGAATACTTTAGCATACTTTCTGTTGTTGGAATTTATCTAACATTTTTAGGTCGCTGAATTGCATGTTTTCTTTTTTTCTGCATTCCAACACACAGGGTTTCAGGCTTGGGCTTAGCTCAGAATTGAGGAAACAATCCACCCGTTTATTTGAATCGTTTTTATATATTTTTATGCTGTTCCAATTGCAAGCTACCAGACTCGTATTGACCTCATAATTAGCCTACATAGGCCACTGAAGCTACTGGCAGCCATCTTATAGTGCCCAACGCCAAGGTAATTCATTGGCCTGCTTGCAATTGTTAATCAAATCATTTGTGGCAACAAAAGTTATAAC